GATTAATTAGTGAGCCTGAGTGAAAGCCAAGATACTGTGCTTCTTCTCTGTAAAAGAAAAGTGCTTCCCCCCCCCCCCAGTTCACAACCAAGTAGTAGAAGAAGAAGAGATTGGATTTATACCCCGCCCTTCACTACCCGAAGGAGCCTCAGAGCGGCTTACAAACTCCTTTCCCTTCCCCTCCCCACAACAGACACCCCTGTGAGGTTGGTGGGGCTGAGAGAGCTCTTTCAAGGACTGCTCGTAAGAGAGCAGGTCTGAGAGAACTTGTGACTGACCCAAGGTCACACCAGCAGCTGGATGTGGAGGAGTGGGGAATCAAACCCGGTTCAACCAGATAAGAGTCCACGCTCCTCACCACTACACCAAACTGGCACCAAAAGCTAGACCTTTTTTTTTAAAGGTAGAACTACCTAGGGGAGAGGCTATGGTAGGTTGCCAGCTGGGAAGCTGTGGGGCACAGGAGTATTTGGGGGCAGAGGGTACACCAAACAGCACTGCATGAGGCTCTCGGACAGGGGTGGCCAAACTGCAGCTCAGGAGCCACATATTCACACATATTGTGCGCCTCCCGGCAGGGCAGCTGGATAAGCGAAGGGGAGGTGTACTTTTTCTCCCTCCCTCCTGTCTATTTGCTTTCTTTGTTTCTCTCTCTCTCTCTTTCTATCCACCGCTTTCATTCTGTCTTTTCCACCTCTCCCTTTCCCCCTCTCTCTTAGACAAATAGATATCATTAGCAAACAAATATCATTGGACAAATAAATATCATTATCAATATCTCTTTTTTACCCCTTTTGTTTTTATTTTTGGCAGTCTCATTTAATGTTAATAAAAAAAGCAAACTTGCATATGTTTACATTAAAATGTACGTGTAATATTGGTTCAGGTCTCAAACGTCTGACATTTATTCTGTGTGGCTCTTAACACTGAGCAAGTTTGGCCACCCCTGCGGGGTGGGGGAAACCATACAGATTCTTAAAACCATTCCTAAAGCGACGGCCAATGTTCCCTCTAAGCTTTGGAGTCTTGTGAGCGAAAATTCTACTTCATGAGCTACCAGCATTAAAGTTGTGAGCAAGCGATTTGGCTGCTGCATGAATTAGTTTGCTCTGGAGCCATCTTCCCTGAGCTACGACAAAAATGTGTGAGCCTGAAGCTGAAAAACTGTGAGCCAGCTCACACTAACTCAGCTTAGAGGGAACACTGGCGACGGCATGACATTATTTCCAGATACTCACACAGAAGTTTCATCACAGTGTTGTGCAACATCAAGCCCTCCGTTTTGTCCGTTGAGTGAGGGCGGGCGGGCGGGGGGTGTTATCCCAACTCCTCCAGGAAATTCCTGGAGACCCAATCCCAAGTTATCTACCAAGGGAAAAGGGGGATGGCGTAAGTTCTGAACCAATTTATACAGAGGTCGGATGCGGAAGGGGGGGGGGAGAACGCTCGCTATTCAGGGAGTCAGGCAACACTCTGAGTTTAAATCAATGTTGTCTTTACTAGAGTAGTTTCTTCAGGCATACAAAATCGGATACATACACAGACTCACACAAGCTCCTTAGTTGCAATAGTACATCAGAACAATTACAGCATAGAAAAATAACAAACGCATGAAAATAACAAAAGCATAGAAAATAGCATCAGCATCAAATAAGGGAATGACACAATGGGGTACGGCTGTACTTATCTGAGGTCCAAGCTTCGAGAAGAAATCTCCTCCTTGGATGGATGGGCAGCTAAAGCAGCAACTTGTGAACTCTGAAGACACACAGGCTGGGCCAGCCAAAGCCACGTGTGCGTTCCCTGGTCGCGACTCCGGGGAACTTAGGTAGAGAGTCACTTTGAAGCACTCTAGTGCACGCTATGGGGAAGGTGGGTTAACCAGGGAAACAAAGAAAAGTTTCTCCTTATATCAGCTCCTATTTGGGGCTGGCTCTATTAGCCCTAAACTACCAAACCCGTCCTCTAAACTACCCCGACTGGCTAAAAGGGGGTGACGAGGGGGTGACGTTGGCAAGGGGGCAAGGGGAGGAAATGCAGATTTCTTGTCCTACTTCAAAGAGGGCCTGGTGGTAAGGTGTGAATCTTCGTTCCCATGGACACCTCTTGATTTGCAGATCTGGTGCCTGCTTCAAAGCCATAAATACTATTGTCTTCAGATCCAAAGCCGGATTGGGGAAGTAGGGTTACGTGCTCTTTCTCACTCCTGAAATGCCGGGGTTCACTGGGGATTTTCCATAGCTCTCAGCATGGGTGCAATGGCGCGGTGTCTTCTCCATCCCGATGTATGACGGGATATCTTCTCCAGGGAAGCACATGGTCCGTATGTGCAACAGCAGCTCCAGGCCAGCCTATTTCTAGGCAAGCCTGGGATGCTGAACAAAGCAACACAACCAAACAGCAATCCCTGAATACAATGCATAGACACACACAAACAGCATCACCACTATACAGAAATGCAAACATAGGCTCATCCCGTAACAGTGGGCAGCAGGGGCAGGCAAGCCTACACAACCTGGCAAGACTAGGGTGTGGCTCAGTAGTTAGTTTCTTTCCATGCAGAAGATTTCAGGATTGTGCTAGACCGGGCCATTGAGATCAGGACGCAGTCAGATGTCCTGACACTAGCCACAGTTCCTCCCTGTAGCATTGCAAACCTGCATTTTACTTAAAAAAAAAAAAAGATTTCGAGCAAAGGTAAATGGGAATAGCCTGGCACATCTAGAAGAAGAGATTGGATTTATACCCCGCCCTTCACTCTGAGTCTCAGAGTGGCTTACAATCTCCTTTCCCTTCCTCTCCCCACCACAGACACCCTGTGAGGTAGGTGGGGCTGAGAGAGCTCTGAGAGAAACTGCCCTTGAGAAAACAGCTCTGAAAGAACTTGTAACTGACCCAAGGTCACACCAGCAGCTGCATGTGGAGGAGTGGGGAATCAATCCCGGTTCTCCCAGATAAGAATCCGTGCTCTTAACCACTGCACCATACTGGCTTTCCAGTTTGGACCAGACTGTATTAATAAATACTAACACGTCTTCTAAAACCTGGATCTTCCATACTAAAAGTTCATTTTGGAGCCCTTTTCATTCCTGGTGTGGGTATTCCCTATTCTATCATTTAGCATAAGTGGTAGGATTAAAAATGACCTTTCCTTTTAAGAATCAGCCTTGTTATTAAATACCAGTTACATTTAGCAGTTACATTTAGCAGTTACATTTAGCAGAAACTTCCACCTTGTTCAGAATCCTCAGGACTTTATTTCATTTCAGTCTTTGGGGATATATTGAATTTAATGAATGATTGGTTAAATTCAGAGGTTTAACTGAGCTAAGAATTCTTTGAGGAGAAGTTTTTAACTGGGATTCGTTGTTTGCACTGACGCAAAAGCTCTTGTTCCCCCAAGACAAGAGGCATGCTATTCACAAAGCCAGCTGGTAATAACAAGATTGACCCAGGCGATCTGGTCTGCACAGTTTGGATACACTGCATAACATGGTACCTTCAGTTTGGTGTAGTGTTTAGGAGCGCAGACTCTAATCTGGGAGAACCGGATTTGATTCCCCACTCCTCCACATGCAGCTGCTGGTGTGACCTTGGGTCAGTTACAAGTTATTTCAGAGCTGTTCTCACGAGCAGTTCTTGAAAGAGATCTCTCAGCCCCACCTACCTCACAGGGTTGTCTGTTGTGGGGAAGGGAAGGGAAAGGAAAGGAGTTTGTAAACTGCTCTGAGACTCCTTCGGGTAGTGAAGGGTGGGGTATAAATCCAATCTCTTCTTCTTCTTCAACGGAGTGGGGCAAATCTTGCATTTCTGCTGTAATGTTTAAATTCCCAAGGTGGAGTTGGCAATCTTAGCCAATCCTATTGCCTACAGACACTATTCAAAATGCACTTGAAAATCCTCCCCAAATTATCTTTTAATTCTAATCTTTTATATTTCTTTCATCCCCTAATTATATTCTTTGAAACAGGACACTCTTTTTCAAGATTCGGTAGCAGGTACTGTTAACATATCAAAGAAGATCCACATACAAAGCCAGTGACCAGGAGATTCTGTTTCCAGGAGATATTTGCATTAGTGGCATTATTTTGTCTTCTGGAAGGCAGAACAACCACATGGTGCCTTGGTTGGACTAATTTCCCAAGGTCCTGCTGACCTTGCCAGTTCAGGTTATCAGTTTATTGTCTCTCAGCAGAACTTCCACAAACTCAGGTTTTTGCATTGACTTCAAGACGGATTCCATCTGAACCTGGATGCTTCAGGTTTCGTGAGGCCTGAGGACTATATTGTTAGGGTGACACAATCACAAATAAAGGGTTAAGTTGCTTTGGTTCTTATTATTACCATTTGGCAAGTGATATGCAAGTTATATTCAGTGACCTACCGAAGACACGAGATGATTTCCTCTAAGGCTACTGAAAATGGCACATGTACATACATACATACTCCCGAAGTCCAGTAGTAGAGAGTAGTGCCTGAACCCAGGGGTGAGATGCATCCATGAATGGCAGAACAAGATTTTTAACATCCAAATCATAGGGGAAAATGGAACTAAACCTCCATGTAATGTGTATGGATCCCCAGTACAGACATTGCAGAAGATGGAAGACTAAGAGGCAGCTAGTTGGCTCAAAACTCCAACTGAAGATCAAGTACTGGATGAACAGGCCTGTAACCAGGATTTTGTGACACCAGTTTCTTGACACAGAGCTAGAAGGGATCCTAGAGGCCATCTACTCCAACCCCCTTGCTCAGTGCGGGAATTAGCCAACTATGGCACCCCACTCTACGCATGCCTTTTAAAAATGTTTTAAAATGATTGGAAAAAGCATTGACAGGAGAAATTCTTGTGGGGCTGTGCCTTTAGGAAAGGGGGGCAGAGCCCCCCAAAGCCCCACCATAGCTACGGGCCTGTGGGTGAGCCCAGCCTTCTTGTTTTTGAGGCTTGCATCCATCATGGATCATTCAATGAACATAGCTGCTTCCTGCCCTTTTTGCAGAACAACGAGGGCCCCCAGCTAGTTACCAGCTCCATGGTGTGGGTCCCTGAGGGAGGGATGCTGCAAATCACCAACAGAGTTCTACAGGCCGAGGTGCCCGGTGCCAGGGACTCTGCAATAATCTACACAATCACCGACCCACCACTATACGGTAAGTGGAGGTTATGGAAACTCCATGGGAGATGTCACGATTCTCGTGGAAGTACTTTTCCTATGTTCTCTTCCCTTCCCTTATCCTGATGAAGGCCCTCCCTCTTCTTCATTGGCGGAGGAGCTTTTGTTGTGGTGTAGGAGCTTCAAGCAAATAACGCGCCCCACCATGCAGATGAATGGAACCAGTCTGTGACCCCAGGTGCCCGTTACCCTCTTGATGCTGCAGCGACGGCCAGGATTTTGCAGGAGGGTGCTGGGGTTGAGCTCCCCTCCCCCCTCAGCAATCCTATTGCAGCCTTTCCATGCTTTGACCCAGAGCTACAAACAGCAGAAGGACAGGAGAGGTGTTACAAAGAGAGCCCAGAAGCCCAGCTTTTCAAGAAACGAATGTGTTACAATCAGGGCTTTTAATAATAATTAAAAAAAGAGGTGCTGGAACTCTCAAGAGGTAAATGAGGTTTTCAGTCTGCATATTGAAAATTCACAAACTTTTAAACATTAATAATAAAATAATAATAATACTTTCAATTTATTAATCGCTTTCCCCAGTGGGCTCAAAGCGATGTACAATTACACATTTTCGATAGGGGACTAACAATGTTCATAGGGGATAGGGAAGACAACATATATTCATTTAATTGCACACGCCCTCACTGCACGGTGTAAATGTCTTCTGGCTTGGCTCAGTCATTTTCCGAACGGCTGCTTGTTGACCAGGCTTCAGGACCCATATGTCACATCGCCACACTGCCAACGCCTGGTCGGAAACATCCACTGCAGGGATTGTTGTAGCCGAGAAGTTCTTCCGCCTTTTTCCGACCTCGACCAGGACGTCCCGACTGTCAGCTAACACCCTCCCACAAGGGAGATTGGCATGCCCACCCTCTCTAAGGAGTGGTTCCCATTGTATCTACTCGCCGAAGCTTTCGAATCGCTGGGTGGACGATGAGCTGGGGACAACAGGCTGGCTGCTCACACCAGTGCGGGGCTCGAACTAACACAGTTCGGATGTTAAGACAGTGGGATATACCCACTGTGCCACCGCTCCCCTTCATTTTGAACATAATTTTGTCGAAGAGGTTCCGGAACTCCGTTCTGGCACGTTCCCCCAGAAAAAAACGCCCTGGTTATAATAACGTTGCAAAGCACAGATGAATAGAGATCTAAAAGAGTAAATCAGTAATCCCTAATATGGCACCATTGGGCGCCATGGTGTCCGCCAGTGTATTTCCCACCTCCCACTTGTTTCTTCCCCAAAGCAAAGAACCAAATCCATTCTCCTCTCCGGTTCATTGGAGCCGTAGGCACTTCAAAAGATTTCGCTTCCGGGTCTTCAGGGAGCACTTGTTGTGAAACAGCTGCCTCATCACAGGACAACGATTGGCTTGGAACCTCTCATGGTTCTATAATTGTCCCTCACAGGGCTTTTTTTGTAGACAAAGCCCAGCAGGAACTCATTAGCATATTAGGCCACATCCTGACAGCACAGCTCATTAGCATATTAGGCCACACCCCCCATGTTACCAGAAGTAACCTTTTGCTTCTTATTCTGTTTACCTTGTTTGTTGTCAAAACCCAGGGCTTTTTCTTTTGTAGCAGGAACTCCTTTGCATGTTAGGCCACACATCCCTAATGTAGCCAATCCTAATGAGTTTCTGCTGTTGGGTGTGGCCTATTATGCTAATGAGTTCCTGCTGGGTGTGGCCAACTCGGGAGCCAGCCGGAACTCCGTTCCTGTGCGTTCCTGCCCAAAAATAGCCCTGGTCCCTCATATTTTGGTGACTCCCCACTAACCTTTCTCAGAGTTCCAAAAGTACCTACAGGCTTAACTGGCTGGAGTAAATGGGCCCATAAGAGTGGTTGTGGACAGTTCCTAGCAACTGATGACATTAGTTGTAGATTTTCTGGGCTGTGTGGCCGTGGTCTTGGCATCCTGACATTTTGCCAGCAGCTGTGACTGGCATCCTCAGAGGTATAACACAGAAAGATGGAGTGCTCTTTGTGTCAAGGTGAGAAGCAAAAAAATGGTAGGCAGGTAATTTATATCTACTCAGAAAGGTAGGGTAGGGCTGAGTCATTATCTTGTACAAGTTCCCCAGGCTGTGACATGCTAATGTCAAGAACCTCCTCAGAAAAGCTCCTCCATTAGCATGTCACAGCCGGGGGAACCTGCCTACCAGTCACAGCTGCTGGCCATACGGCCAAGAAAATCTACAACCACTAATGAACTCCGGCCGTGAAAGCCTTTGACAACAAACTGATGAAATGGCAGAACAGGATGAATCCAAATAGTGTGCAAGGGGGAATAATTACATTCTGTAGTGAGGTAACCGTACTCCGCTTTTACTGAATCAAAGTCCGGAAGTGGAAAATGCTGTCAAGTCGCAGCTGCCTTATGATGACCCTGTAGGGCTCTCAAGGCAAGAGAAGAACAGAGGTAGTTGTCCCATTGTCCGCCTCTGCGTAACAACCTGGACTTCCTGTAGGGCTCTCAAGGCAAGAGAAGAACAGAGGTAGTTGTCCCATTGTCCGCCTCTGCGAAACAACCTGGACTTCCTGTAGGGCTCTCAAGGCAAGAGAAGAACAGAGGTAGTTGTTCCATTGTCCCCTCTGCGTAACAACCTGGACTTCCTGTAGGGCTCTCAAGGCAAGAGAAGAACAGAGGTAGTTGTCCCATTGTCCGCCTCTGTGTAACAACGTGGACTTCCTGTAGGGCTCTCAAGGCAAGAGAAGAACAGAGGTAGTTGTCCCAATGTCCGCCTCTGCGTAACGACCTGGACTTCCTGTAGGGCTCTCAAGGCAAGCGAAGAACAGAAGGTGGTTGTTCCATTGTCCCCTCTGCGTAACAACCTGGACTTCCTGTAGGGCTCTCAAGGCAAGAGAAGAACAGAGGTAGTTGTCCCATTGTCCGCCTCTGCGTAACAACCTGGACTTCCTGTAGGGCTCTCAAGGCAAGAGAAGAACAGAGGTAGTTGTCCCATTGTCCGCCTCTGCGTAACAACCTGGACTTCCTGTAGGGCTCTCAAGGCAAGAGAAGAACAGAGGTAGTTGTCCCATTGTCCGCCTCTGCGAAACAACCTGGACTTCTGTAGGGCTCTCAAGGCGAGAGGAGAACAGAGGTAGTTGCCCCATTCTGCACCTCTGCGTAACAACCTGGACTTCCTTGGTGGTCTCCCATCCGACTACTAACCAGGGCCAATGCTACTTAGCATCTGAGATCCGATAAGAACAGGCTAGCCTGGGCCATCCAACTCAGGGCAAGTCTAGTATGAATTCCAATACAACAGCTTTATGTCCGAGTTTCCTTTTGAAACTAGCTTGTTGAAGTACTGCAACGCTGAAGTCTTGTTACTGAGTGTCCGAGGAGATTGAAGTGCGCTGGTTTCTGTTTCTGTTTTTAGTGTCCGAGGAGACAGGGGCCGGTGTTCTTTCCCTCTGCTCTGCAGGGACAGAACAGCTGACTAATGTTGTTAGGGACGTGTGGTGTTATGACTTTAGCGAAAAGAACTAATAAACTGGACTCGAGTCAACTGTGCTCCAGGGTCCTGCTAGAGGCAGCCAGATGGCCTGTGAGTCACACACTGGGGTGTCCTACATGAACAGCTAATGCCCGGGCTAGATTCAAATCAGGTTTAGCAACTACAATTTAAGATAGCGTCATCCCCCAAAAGACGGGGGAAGGCTGCAGAGAACGGGGTATCGAGCGCACGCCTGATCGGCTCGCCGTGCGGGTTCCTTTAATTGAGATCTATGCATTTTAAATAATTTAGCAGCTAGATATTAAAGAGACATCACCGAATCCCCGACGGGAGTCGATCTGTCAGGAGCACAAACGCTCGATGGTGCTAGAGCGGAATCCAAACTGTCAATGTAATGGAATCGGTAACTCTGGTGTCAGAACAGATTACGGGCCTGAACGGCTGAATCCCATCCCTGGCCCGGAAGACATCTGCTGGCAGCGAAGTTAATATCGGATCCCAATATTACTGTCAGGTTGAAAGGATTTCGGTTGTCGCAGCATCTGTGATAATGCTTGGAGGGTGGAGCTTTGCAGCAGCTTCAGGCCTTTTTTTAAAAAAATAAATAAATGTTACCGAGCCTTATGAATGGAAAGAGGATGGCTCTCAGTGATGAGGAAAAGATGCTGCTCCACTTTGTTCCCTCTAGAATTAGCTACAGCCTGCAACACTTCTGATGGGAGCCCCGTCTTTTCTCTGGGCGGCTGGCAAAGCAGCCTGTATGTTATTGCACAGTGGCCTCATTTTCCCCTTCCCCCCCAGTCAGAAGACTGTTCTGGTTCCAACAGCTTGGAGTAGGTTTGCCAGCCCCCTTCTGGGTGTGGGGATCCCCATCTCTAGGCTAATGATCAGCGTGCGAGGGAGGGCACTTAACAACAGCAGAGTGAGGCCTCGGCTGGTATTGCCAGCGATGCAGCAATGTCATATCTGCCATGTGCCGGAAGTGATGTCATTTTGTACCAGCACTGCAAAAAGAAGTGAAGTTATCAGCAATGGTGGCCTAAGCGTCCTTCCCAGTTTGGTGTAGTGGTTCAGTGTGCAGACTCGAATCTGGGAGAACCGGGTGTGATTCCCCACTCCTCCACATGCAGCTGCTGGTGTGACCTTGGGTCAGTCACAAGTTCTCGAAAGAGCTCTCCCAGCCCCACCTATCTCACAGGGTGTCTGTTGTGGGGAGAGGAGGGGAAAGGGGTTTGTAAGCCGCTCTGAGACTGGGCGGGGTATAAATCCAATCTCCTCCTCCTGCTCCCACTGCTGGTAAGTCCCCCCCCCCGGTTAGTTTCCATGGGGTTTCTGGCAACCCTAGCTTGGAGCAGGTTCAGTAGCTGGGTGCTGGAGCCAGTCTCACAGGTGACATGGGAGCAAGCTAACCATACAAGCTGGTTGGACCCGCAAGGCTCTCTGCTTAGCCCAGAGCTTAAGTATCCTGGAGACCAAAAGTCCAGGAGCGGTGGCGCAGGCAGTAAAGGGAGCCTGCAGGTTATCCATCTATGAACAGCCTTAAGGCTGTTTGAGTCCCACTGCGGCCGGGGTGAGCTCCCGGCCCTCGTCCTAGCTCCCGCCTACCCAGCGGTTCGAAAGCCAAGCAAATAGCTAAATGGGTACCTGCCTTAGGTGCAGGGGGGCACCCACCTTCCAGCGTTGTGGTGGCGAGGAGGAGTGGAGCGGTGGTGCCGGCGGCGGCAACGACGGCGGCGGAGCGATCCGATGAAAGAACATGGCAGCGATTTAACACCAAGCAGCAATTGTTCCAGGCGGGGATTGGCCCTGAGAAGCGACAACGTGGTGACGCTGCTTGGCCAGAGCCAATTGGGCAGAGGCCAGCGCAGGAAGTCGTCGCACAGTCGCAGACTATGGGAGCTTCCCCAGAAGGAGCCGCTGCGGAGCCCGCCGAGACAAGATTCCACCATAAGGAAAAAGAACACACACGCCGGCGGGGTGCCTGGTAGGCACCCACCTCCCTATATATATACATTGTATGTGGCCCTAGTTAGGAAATGTAAAATGCTTGTAAACTGCTCAGAGCCTCCGGGATTGAGCGGTATAGAAATTGAAAGTATAAATAAATATATAAATAAATAAAAGGCCCCCACCTGTCCCTGGGCGTCACCTGGCCAGGGCTTAATTGAACCCTGATTCTGCGAAGGAACTGCGTGCACTCAGGCAGTGGTCTAGCTCAGCTGCTGGAAGACGGGCTGCCACTCTGGCACTTCTTTGTCGCTGCATTGCCTCCTCTCATGCCCGTCATCTCTGTCGCTCTTGCTGGGCCGGAGGAGAACTTGAGGATCTGGTAGTCCAGGATCTGGCCGTACCTGGCAAGGAACTGGCTGCCCTAGATTCCGGCACGTTGGCCGTACTGCGTGGAGCTAAGCTCTCAGGCCCTTTGGCTGAGGCCTCTCAGGGGCTCTGGGGCTGGAGGGGGTCCAGTGGTGCCAGGTTTTCCCTGAGCCTCCTGTCCTTCCCTCAGAATGGTCTCCGGCTCTTCCCGGGCAAGATCACAGGACACTTTGCTCCTGCGCCAGCCCAGGAGGGCTCACGACCAATGCTCCCCTCTAAGCGGTGGAGTCTTGTGAGCAAAAATTCTGCTTTGTGAGCGACTGGCCATTCAAGTTTGTCAGCAAGCGATTTGGCTGCTGCATAAACTAGTTTGCCCTCTGGAGCCATCCTTCCTGAGCCAAGACAAAAATGTGTGAGGGGTAAAAATCTGTGAGCTAGCTCACACTGACTCAGCTTAGAGGGAACACTGCTCACGACAGAGACGGTGGAGACTCCCCTGGGTCCTAACGTCTGCCTGTCACTTCCATCTATTGGATTGGACCTGACTATGCCCTGTTTCTGGTCTTCCTGGAGGTACCTGCATGGCCACCGTGGGAAAGGAGATGCTAGAAAAGACGGAGCTTTGGCCTATTCCAGCAGCAATCGCCTGATCTTCTTACACTGTCTCCCAATGAAGGCCTTCTTATGAACATTTCTTGCTCACACATGGAGAATCTCCTTAGAGAGGGGGTGTGATTCAACTATCGATAGTATATAATTCTCTAGGGATGCCATGCCCGCAGATGACCCTGGGTTAAAATGGCAGCCTCTGCCCAATGGAAGAGCAGCGACCCCCACCTCTTCTTTCACCCAGCGGGACATCAACGAAGGTGTCGTGTGGTACAGGCACTCTGGATCCGAGACAGAGAGCGACTCCTTCCGCTTCCAGGTATGTAATGTCACTGCTAAATAGTGGGTTTAACACGGCAGAGGCGAAGGCAGAGTGATTTCAACAAGCAGCAGTTTATTGCATCGCAACAGGAACGCTTTACATGGGGCAACTGCCCTGACTATAAACACCAAAGCCACTCCCAGCCCCCATGCGATTGGTGAGTTCAAAAGGCCTCCAGGCTCCAGATTGGCTGGCTGCCCTCAGGGGCCAATCTGCAGGCAGGTTCCAGGATCCTGCCTGCCTTTGTTCTGGGCCTTCAAGCTCCAACTAGGTGGCCTGCCCAGACAAGCCGAGACATGCCTTCACACCAATGTTCCCTCTAAGCTGTGGAGTCTTGTGAGCAAAAATTCTACTTTGTGAGCTACAGACATTAAAGTTGTGAGTGAGCTATTTGGCTACTGCATAAATTAGTTTGTTCTGGAGCCATCCTTCCTGAGCGAAGACAAAAATGTGTGAGCCGGAGGCTAAAAAACTATGAGCTAGCTCACACTAACTCAGCTTAGCGGGAACACTGCTCCCCACTCTCCATCTAGGTGGCCAGCCAGACAAGTCCAGGCATGCCTCCTTATGTCCAGACATAACAGTCGCTGACCTGTAACTAGTGCCGTTTTGCTGGCTTAGTTACCGAGCCCAGGACCGCTGCATTCAAGATAAATGCCCTGTGTGGAAGCCACTTGTCAGGAATTGCATTATTCCCACACCTTGTTCATCATAAGGCTAGTTGTTTACAGTCTCCCTGCAGAGATGTAATCGTATAATGTTAAGTCAGGTCTCCTTCCCGGGAGGCAGAAATGAGAAATAGTCTCCCTCGAACGGCTCTCTCTTTCTCCCGCTTTCACCCGCACCCGCACAGAAACACACGCGCTGAGAACTAAGCTTTTTCAGTGTCTGCCTGCAATATTTTGTACATTTGGCTTACACTGTAGGAGCTATTGCTATAGCACTGGAGAAGCAATTAAGGTAATTTCTGAGGTAATTAACATAAGTGATAATGAGGAAGTGTTGAAGTGCCGGCTGTTGAACAAGCTAATCTTTAATTTAATTGCCGGGTTGCTGTCAGCTTGTGTGCATGTTGCACGAAATGTCGCACCTTCTTGGTGTGGCCGTAATGGTGTGGTCAGCTCTGCGGTGGCGGGGAGGGCTGGGGGAGGACGCCACGGCTAGCTGCGACCTATCCGAAAACGATAACCCGTCTGTCAGTGTCCCGCACAATGGATTGCCGCTGCCGAGGAAACGCGGACGAGCAGTTTTTGTTAGCGTTCTGGGAACCGTGTTTCCAGTGACCCCTAATAAAATGAACCCCACGAGTCAATTTATGTATTTATTATTTGCTTTGGGGGATTTTTTTATGTCGCCGTTTTCCCGGTTGATAAAAACTCTTGGCTGCTGTCCAGAAAACTGCAGGTGGACGGGCCTTTGGTTCCCCTCTGTGTGAGTTCAATGCTCCATGTTTACCAAGGAGTTCTGCTGCTGCAGTGTGCCCGAGTGTTTCCCTTTTGTAGAAGGAAGTGGGGAAGGCCCAAACCGGGTACAGGCACGTGTGCCGGAACTGCTGGAATTTGGCTGTGGTGTTGTTTTGTTTTTTGGCAGTAGCTTAGCACACAGCTTCTCAGACTTTCTGCCTATACGTTAGCACGTCTGGCTGTCTAGCTAGCCACCTACCTGGAGAGAGTGATTTAGAGGGGCAGAATTGGCAAGCCGGGAAAAGATTAAGCAATATCCCCAGTTGCACCTTCTAGAGGCAGCTTTTCAAGCTCAAAACATGTTGTCAGGTTAATTTACATGCCGTGCCTCAGAACCCAAGCGTGCATTGCCTAAAAATGTCTGTTGCCTTCCCGCTTTCCCTCGCACGCCGTGCAGGAACCACCAGAGGTGGATATACCTGTACTATTTTTCAACCTGTATCTCCACTCAAGGTGGACCAGGAGGCCAAAGGAGGCCTGGAAGACGGCCATCCTGTCACCACAGACCCCTGTCACTTGATAAAGGGCAGCAGAGCCAGCTGGAGAGAAAGGGGTGCCAGCCTCCAGGTGGGGCCTGGGGAATCTCCCGCTTTTGCAACTGATCCCCAGCCGCAAGAGATCAGCTCCCCTGGAGAAAATGGCTGCTATGAAGGGTGGACTCTATGGCATTGTGCTATGCTGAGGCCCCTCCCCTCCCCAAACCACGCCCTCTCCTGGCTCCATCCCCAAAGTCTCCAGGTATTTTCCAACCCAGACTTGGCAACCCTATGGAGAGAAGGGGGTGCCACCACACAAACACTGCCATGCCAGTTGGGTGTCGTGGTTAAGTGCGCGGACTCTAATCTGGGAGAACCAGGTTTGATTCCCCACTCCTCCACTTGCAGCTGCTGGATGACCTTAGGCAAGCCATAGCTCTGTCAGAGCTGTCCTTGAAAGAGCTGTCTTTGAAAAAGAGCAGAAGTTCACCGAAGCTCGAACTTTAAAGTGTTAAATACATTCATTATGGGAAGGATAATGCTTAAGGCAGAAAGTGATGTGATGGAGAGCATGGATCCCTGTCAATCAAAGACAGATTGTGCATGCCCATACTTCTGGTTTGGATAAGGGCCAAACCAGGACCAGGCCAAACCATCTTATTTCCCTTACATGGCTAGTAAGCGCAGGGATCCTGGTTTCAGTTAGTGAAACTGGGCGAGTAAGGAGGAAGCACGTTTCGGCTTGCATCCTCTGCTGGGGAGGGGCTGTGGCTCAGTGGCAGAACACCTGCTTTGCATGGAGAAGGTCCCAGGTTCAGTCCCTGCCATGTCCAGTTAAAAAGGACCAGGGCAGCAGGTGTTGTGAAAGACCTCTGCCCGAGACTCTGGAGAGCCGCTTCCAGTCTGAGTAGACAATACCGATCTTGGTGGACCAAGAACAATCCAGATGGGTAGCCCCGTTTGTCTGTCTGTAGCACTAGAAAAGAGCAAGAGCCCAGTAGCACCTGAAAGACTAACAGAATTTGTAGCGGGGCATGAGCTTTTGTGAGACAGAGGCCCCGGTCACATGGGAGGATTTGCCCCGCGAAGCGGACGGGATGAGGGCGCATCAAACGGGCACGATCAGATGCCAACATCTGGCAAGCGTTGCACCCCCGCCCCCAACCCGTTCCTTCCGGCCAAAAACGCGGATCAACTAGGGGAAATGTAGTACCTACCGGAAGATCCGCAGCAAGGCCGGGCGTGGGATCGCAGATGCGCCGGCAGCCTGTGTTATTCGAGGGACTGCCAGACTGTGCATGCGCGACTGCTGGACTGCGCATGCGCAGCAATACTCCAGCAGCCTCAGCTCGCCCGTCTTTGCCTCGCTTCCCCCGGCCATGTGATCGCGCCGGACAGAATATGTGTGGCGGCTCAGGGGAAGTGTCTGATCTCGATGCCGTGCTTTCCCTTGGTGCGGCTCTAAGAAGCCGCACTTCTTGCGCGGCATTTCCCGCCGGTGTGACCGGGACCACTGCTGGCTTCTTCATTTAGATCACGTTGGTTAGCCATCTTACTCCTGCTGTAGCCGTAGAAAAGAGCACGGATCGCTTCTTCAGTTCTGAAGAAGTGAGCAGTGAGTCAACAAAAGCTCATACCCTGCCACCAACGTTGTTAGTCTTTAAGGTGCCACTGGACTCTTGTGCTTTTCTATTGATGGACCAAAGGTCTGATTCAGTCTAAGGCAGCTTCATGTGTTCATGTGTTTCCCTTCCCCGTAATCAGAGCGGCACATGCACGAGATGTGCCCTTTACAGGAAAAAAAAATATCTGTGATTTTCAGTAGGTCTGTCTGTAGCGGCGTTGGCAACAACCTGAAGGCTGAAAAAATGTCCCATCCCTTCAGCAGAGGCTTTATGTTTGGCTAGGGACAGCTAAGGTTTTCATGACGAGGAGGTAAAGATAAAGAACATCACCTGGTAAATAATATCCCATTAGGCCTCCATCAAAGATACAAGGGGTTTTTCCCCCGTCCAGGTTATTGGCAATGCTTGTCTGTAGCCACGCGGAGTCTGCGTAGTGGGCCATCGAGATTGCTCCTGCCCAAATTAAATTAAGTCTCGAATCCAGCTCTTTGAGATAATGAGCCGGGTGTCTCCCTTTCTGTTTTCTGAGATTCTTTAATTGCCGATTAGAAGATCCAAATCTGGGGCTTTGAGTATTCCGTGTCCATACTCTGCCTCCGAGCGAAAATGCAGTAACTCTTGTCAATTCGCTAATTGCATATTAGAAAGGTGAGCCTTAATCAAACTATAATAGCGGGCCTGCCTCTGTGATTGGTGCTGGTGGCATTATCAATTAAAACGTTCTCAGAATTGGTGCCCCAAAGCCTCAAGATTATGATCTCCAATAAACCTGTGGTTTTAATTTATTTACACGTGCGTGCGGGAGTCATGGAAACAGCAACACCTGACTAACAGGCGTGATCAAAGCAGAGCTTATAAAAATTGATTGATCATAAAAATCAATCTGTATACCTATAATAATAATTAAATGCCATGAAGTCGCAGCTGACTTATGGCGACTCCTCAAGGGGTTTTTAAGCAAGATATGCAGAGGTGGTTTCCTACTGCCTTCCTCTGCATACCAGTCAGGATCTTTCTTGGCGGTCTCCCATCCACACACTGGACAATGACCAACATTGCTTAACTTCCAAGCTTTGATGAGCTCAGTCTAGTCATGGCTATTCAGGCTGTGTGTGTGCGTGCGTGCACGTGTGTATGTACACATACGCCATTAAATAGATTAGAGAATTATTGGCTCTATAATCCGACAATAAGCCAAGAGGCATATAAAATTAACACCATAATTTATGATGGAAGCAAAGCATTATGGGAGTAAGGTCAAGTATTGTGTGGCTGAATCCTATCTGCATTTACTCTCATTGCCCGCAGGGCTCTTTTTGTAGAAAAAGCCCAGCAGGAACTCATTAGCATAATAGGCCACACCAAACAGCAGGAACCCATTAGCATATTAGACCACACCCCTGACAGCACATCTCATTGGCATATTAGGCCACTCCCCCATGTTCCCAGAAGTGTGATCATCCAGCCACACCCACCTTTTGATTCTTATTCTGTTTACCTTGTTTGTCGCAAACCCAGGGCTTTTTTTATAGCAGGAACTCGGTTGCATGTTAGGCCACACACCCCTAATGTAGCCAATCCTAATGAGTTCGTGCTGTTGGGTGTGGCCTGTTATGCTAATGAGTTCCTGCTGGGCGTGGCCAACTTGGGAGCCAGCCGGAACTCCGTTCCTGTGCGTTCCTGCCCAAAAATAGCCCTGCTCATTGGGTTCAGTGGAGCTTACTTCCAAGGAAGCGTGACTGAGCTTACAACCTTAATGTACACAGGGAAAGGTAACGAACAGAATTTAGCACGTGCATATATTAGCCAAATCGGCATTGCCATGAGCAGTTAGCAAAGTCCTGTAGCAAAGTTAGGAACAAAGAGAAATTGCTGGTCATCTGTAGCTATTAGGGTTGTTGTCTCTGGGTAAGGAAATGCCTGGAGATTGGGGAGGGTTGTGAAGCCAGTCTCACTATAAGTGTGACCAAAGTCTGAGGACGTGAGAGACCTCAGTGGGGTATAATGCAGTAGAGTCCACACTACAAAGCAGCCGTTTTCTCCAGGGGAACTGGTCTCTGTAGTCTGCATGTAGGAAGCATTTAGTAGCTGTAAGAACTCCACATAGAGATTTGTCCACGGATAAAAAGTTTTTGAGCCTATTGAAGGGCTAGTCCCAGATAGTACACTGCATAGCAACATAGAGAATGTTCTGTTCATCTGCAGAATAGGATTCAAACACATAATGGTTGCTGGTAATCACTTCCGATGGAAGTTTTCCGTCGAAACGAAGTTGAAGCCGGACTCTTCGTAATTTGTTGATACTGTTGGACTGTGAATTGTTGGAAAACTGTTGACACTGTGGACTGTTGGTTTGTAATATTGTATTTTATAAATGTATTTCCATTTGCACACCTGATGCTGTTTACTATTCTAATACATATTTTTTTGCATATGATAGCGACTTTCCCAGATTGTGTTTTTTTGATTTCTCTACACTGGGAGGTTTCTGCTGTGCTGTCATCCTCCAGGTAGGGCCTGGATATCTCTGGCATTACAGTGGATCTCCAGATGAAAGAGATCAGTTCCTCTGAAGATAATGGCTGCTTTGTCCTCTGGACTCTGTGGCATTGCGTCCCGCTGAGGTCCCTTCTCTCCCCAAACCCCGCCCTCCACAGGTTCTACCTTGAAAATCTCTAGGTATTTCCCAACCCTGAGCTGGCAACCCTAAACCCAGGAGGCTGGCAACGCTAGCAGACATAACACCACAACCATGTATTTGTTAATAAATAAGGCTACCAGTTGCGGAGCTGCAGTGGCTCAAGTGGTTAAGACGCTGAACTGCAGGCTGTGGAAGGTCAGTAGTTCAGCAGTTCGAGACCTGGGTGCTGCATGATGGAGTGAGCTCCCGTCTCTAGTTCCAGCTCCTGCCAACCTAGCAGTTCGAAAGCAAGAAATTGCAAGTAGATAAATAGGGACCACTTCGGTGGGAAGGTAACAGCGTTCCTTGCGCCTTGGTGTTTAGTCATGCCGGCCACATGACCATGGAAACGTCTTCGGACAGCGCTGGCTCTTTGGCTTTGAAACGGAGATGAGCACCGCAACCCTAGAGTCGGACTTGACTGGCTTTCGAGCAAGGGAACCTTTACCTTTTAAGGCTACCGGTTGGTGTATTTTTATGTGCGCTGCACGGAGTGTTTAACTCGAAGGAAGAGATGCCGAGAATATTTTCCAAAGGCACCTTTCAGAGGTGCACAGATTGAGCGTCATCTGTTCGGAAAGTAGACACTGCACGATAAAACTAAGCAAGCAGGTATGTCTGTGCAGGGTTCTCATTGCCTCGTGCTCGTTTGTGTGATGTCACATTTCCAGGTGTCCAGCACCGCCGTTCCGCAAGCCCATCTGGAGACCCATCTGCTCAACATTGCTGTTCTTCCGCATACCTCTGAGTCACCTCAGCTGTCCCTTGGCTCTTCTCTCCATATGACTGTAAGTCCAGTCCAAAAGCAGTGAGTAACAGGAATATGCAGCGATGCGCTCTTCCAAGCTGATTGACATCAGTGGGCAGAAGGATGAAACTCCGTTTAGGTCCACCCAAAACACACACATGTTCCTAAGGCTGGGGTTTTATTTATTTAGAAAATATGCAATCTGTCTCTCCCAAGACCTGCTCACAAAGGAAAGAATAAAAACAGCCCTAAAATCATTAAAATGAACAAACAATTAAAACCCAGCCATAACAAAGCAGCCAGAGCATTTATTTATTTATTTATTTATTGGCTGTCTTTCTCACAGAAACCGAAGGCAGATTACCCAGTCCTAAAACACAATGCAGCAAGCAGCAGGGATGGGCACGGACCACTTTTTTGCACTTCGGTTCGTGGTTCGTGGCTGAACCATGAACCAAACCATGAACCTACACGCTGGTTCATGAGCCGTTTAAAGTTTAAACAGTTTAAAAAGCAGGAGGGAGCAGAAAGCAAGGATTTAAATTCTCCCAAGCCATTTAACTCTCCGGTTCGTCCCCCCCCCCCCCAAAACAGGGGGGGGGAGGAGGGTTTAAATTGCTGGGAGCCATTTAAACCTAACAGCTGAGCAGCAGACCCCTCTGTTCAGCTGTTAGGTTTAAATGGCTTCCAGCCATTTAACACTCTGGTTTTGCTCCCCACCGCTTTGAAGTGAGGGGGGGGGAGCAAAACTAGGGGTGTGCAGTCAGCTCCCCACTGGACAAGTAAATGGTGATAAATTCATTAGGAGTAATATATCTGTCGCCAGTGCATTCATTCTGTACACTGGCATAGTTCAGATGTAACATAAGTGAATGTGTCTTTTAGCTGCATTCTTGTTCCCCCTTCCCCCATCTTCTACCACCTATCCTTTCTACTAGGTAATTCCCCCAAGGTTCTTTCTTAAATCTTGAAAACACGGCAGCCTTTTGAACATAGATAAATTGTGCCGGAGCCCCCATTTGGAGCACGATACGACAACCTTCCTTTTACAGAATGAAAACCGTGAAAGACGTGTTGATTGCTTAGAACATTGCTGGATTTTTACAGCTAATTGCTTGCGAAGGAGTTTAGAATTTTAAAAAACTTTTTTTAATTTTCCTTTCTAAATTTAACAATATAAGCAATAAATGAACAAAGGAACCTAAATATCCATTCCCCTGCCTCCTCCTCCCACCCCATTAAGAATTTAAAGACATGCTGTTGTGTGCTGATGGGATTTGCCATGTCTTGGGTAGACGTAAAGGGACCATGTCGCTCAATCTCTTCTTTACAACGGGCGCCGGGTTCATCCTGCATCGGCATAATCCTGTCTATGAAATTTGTTTCTAAGGCCTTAGAATTAGATTAGTTTCTGCACTAAGAAGCCGCTCAGCACTAAGTCCCTCCATAGCAATAAATCAGTTTGAATGACTTATGCAGAACAGTCAAGTGAAGTTTTCGCCTTTGTCCTGGTGTGTTCACACAATTTTCACATGACAGTTTTTTTAGTCACTCATTTCCTGTACTGGCATATAACTCCACAGCTAAGTGCAGGTGTTTGTCACTGGGTCTGAAAGTCCGGGCTTCTGTCAGGTCCTCGAGTAACCACTCTGTACGCAATAGCCCTTGATCAGGTTTATTGGTAAAATATGGCTTCTGGTCAGGTGAACACCTTTGCCAGAACTAACGATCAATAGCCCAGGGATGGATAGTGGGGAACAGGTTCCGCCCATCAGACACACGTCACACTCATTCAAGCTACTACAGGTCATGAGACCAGAGGGAGGGGTCCAAGCATCACTTGGTCCAAACATCCAAATCCAAAAAACAAAAGTGATTCAGGGCATGGACGCCCTAGTATCGCTTGCTACATTATTGACATCCCTGTGGTCACCCCAAGCAAACATTCTAGATGCTCCCGCAAGTGACAAGCTCCCCCCCCCCCAACAAATCTGACAGGATAACTAACCATTATGCACAACTGCACATATTAGAATGACCAGGGCTTTTTTTGTAGAAAAAGCCCAGCAGGAACTCATTAGCATAATAGGCCACACCCAACAACAGAAACTCATTAGCATATTAGGCCACACCCTGACAGCACAGCTCATTAGCACATTAGGCTGCACCCCCATGTTACCAGAAGTGTGGTCATCCAGCCACACCCACCTTTTGCTTCTTATTCTGTTTACCCTGTTTGTTGTCAAAACCCAGGGCTTTTTTGTAGCAGGAACTCCTTTGCATGTTAGGCCACACCCCTAATGTAGCCAATCCTAATGAGTTTGTGCTGTTGGGTGTGGCCTATTATGCTAATGAGTTCCTGCTGGGCGTGGCCAACTCGGGAGCCAGCCGGAACTCCGTTCCTGTGCGTTCCTGCCCCAAAATAGCCCTGAGAATGAAATTTTTTTAAATTTGAAAAGCAGCCTTTACAGAATACAATTTGAAGCAGCGAAGCAATGGCGGGGTGAGTTGGGGAGCAGTTGTGGCGCAATGCTGGAGCCTCTGCTTGGCACGCAAAAGGTCCCAGGTTCAATCCCCGGCATCTACAGTTAAAAGGATCAGGTAGGAGGTGGTGTGGAAGACCTCTGCTTAAGACCCTGGAGAGCCACTGCCAGTCTGAGTAGACAATACTGACCAAGGATATGATTCAGTACAAGGCAGCTTCATGTGCTCATGAGGTCCCCTTTCTCTGCGTACTGTCTCACTCCATCAAATCTCTCCTCTCTGTTCCTTTCCCATCCCGCTTTTAAATTCTAAATGTGTGGGAGACCATATTGTGACTTCACATGGGGAGCAGCAGCTGCAGGGCTTTTTAGGAAGTGGAAATGGCAAGTGGTGAAAAGGTTAAGCAACTCCCCATAACACTTCTTGGTTTCCAATTAGACCCTCTGGAAACTGTCCAAATATGGCCTAAGAGCTAAAGCGTGAACTGTAGAAAAAAACGTCTGCGTTTTCCCTCCTACGTTGTATAGTAATCACTAGCATCAGATATGCGGTCGCCTTTTGCTTAATTTGATGTTTTCACGCTTATTTTTAGTCCGGACTTTATCACCATTTGCTTGTTTGAATGTTTATTCTGCCCGTTCCTCCGAGGAACTCAGAAGGGCTTGCTCATTCCCTTTCCCACAACAATTCTGTGAGACAGGATTAGAGTGACTGGCCCAAGGATATACCTAGAGAGTTTTATGGCAGAGGGGGACTTGAACTTAGGCTCTCCTGTGTTGCAATGTGACACTTTTAACCTCTTTACCATACTCACTGTCATGAGAACAAGTGCAGTGAATGTAATTTACACATCCTGGGGTTATTTGCAAAAGGGTTCCCCTTATGATAAAGGTGGCAGGTGGAAGGAGACAGAAGCTCTGAGTGAATGAACACAAGTGGGGTGGATTCATTCATAAGAACATAAGAGAAGCCAACGTTGGATCAGGCCAGTGGCCCATCCAGTCCAACACTCTGTGTCACACAGTGGCCAAAAAATACCGGGTGCCATCAGGAGGTCCACCAGTGGGACCAGGACACTAGGAGCCCTCCCACTGTTTTGTTGTTGTTGTTCAGTCGCACAGTTGAGTCCGACTCTTTACGACCCCATGGACCAGCTCCCGCCAGGCCTTCCGGTCTTCCGCCGTCCTCTGAAGTTTGCTCAACTGCATGTTCGTTGCATCGATGACACTGTCTAACCATCTCATCCTTTGCCGTCCCCGTCTTCTGTGACCTTCAATCTTTCCCAGCATCAGGGTCTTCTCCAGTGAGTGCTCCCTTCTCATTTGGTGGCCAAAGTATTTGAGCTTCAGTTTCATTATCCGGCCTCCCACTGTTACCCCCCCCACCCCCAAGCACCAAGAATACAGAGCATCCCTTGCCCCAGACTGAGAGTTCCTGTCTATACCTTGTGGCTCATAGCCACTGAGGGAGGGACCTCTGCTCCACATGATTCATTCATTCGTTCGTAATCTCATAGTCCTTTGCACAGAAAGCCCCTTTTCAGTTTCATGATGATTGACACACGTGGAGGACATTTGTAAGACTACATTGTAAGCATACAGTTTTCAGAAACGCCATTTTCAGCAATGATCTCTTTTTTTAAAAAGTCATTCAGATTTTTCTGATACTTTTACCTGGCATGCTGCATGGTGCTTGGTAATTAACAGTACGCATCAAATCTGGGAAACATTTTATGTCACAGGAACTTTTGAAAGCTAGCCCTCTCCTCTTAATTCGTCTGTTACATTCCCTGGGCAATTCCACCATGTGTCTCAGTCTATCTGCAAAAGTAAATGAGGCGGAGATCACTCTTTTCTGCCCCGCAGTAAAATCCGAATTGTAGGCTCATGTAGTCTCAATTTGCCTTGAAGCTGTGGAGAGAAGAGAAGGGGATTTAACCCTTCAACCTCCACTCGGTTTTGCTAACCATATCGTCTTCCTATATCAGTGGTAAATGGGAAAACGGATTAAAGGGTGCCATTTTTTCCTTTTAAAATGCTAGTAGAAAGCAGGGAAACTGGTCTCAGTTATCAAATCTGCATGTACGATGAAGGATTAAACCCCTCACTTCGTCTCCCCATGGCTCCAGTTCAAACTGAGGCTGCACGAACCTGCAATTTCCTTTTCATGGATGAAGGGAGACGTGTGATCTTCGTTGCATCTGTTTGAGCCCTTGGTGTCCACTGTATCATCTCTCTATTTCTTTCAGGCTTTGGAAGACCGTGTGACCACCTTAGAACCCTTTCATCTTTCTTTTGTCGACTCAGAGAGTCCCAGTGAGAAAATCGTGTTCAATGTGACTGTTCCTCTGCCTCCAACGCAAGGCAAGATACTTACTAAATCAGATTAATAATGAAATCACTTGTGCCCATAAAGCACAGAAGGGCCAAAATGTGATTGTAAACTAACTTCTTGCATGACCATAGACCGGGGGGGGGGTCCCCAACCTTTTGAGCCTGTGGGCGCCTTTGGAATTCTGACACAGCGAGGTGGGCACAGCTACAAAATGGCTGCCGCCAAATGGCTCCTGCACCAGGGGGAGCCAGCCACAAAATGGCCGCCGCAGTTGACCTTCAGTCACATGGTGAAGATCCTTGTGCTGTGGAGGCAGCTGCCGCCAAAGCAAAGTTTGTAAAGATCTGCACAGCTAATCAAATTTCCAATGGCCAGTCAAAAGTCTTGCTGGGCAACAGCTGTATGCTGTGTGTTTAACATGAAACTCTCTATGTTGGCAGGTATTTTGGAACATAGGGACAAGCCGTTGTCCCCAGTAAAGTACTTCACACAGGCTGACATCAACCATGGCAAGATTGTGTACCGCCCACCCTCTGCAGCTCCACATCTTAGAGAGATGATGGAGTTCTCCTTTGCTGGTAAGAAACTGGACTAGTGCTGTCCTTCCTGAGCTGTACTACTGTGTTTCCCCGAAAATAAGACACTGTCTTATATTTATTTTTTCTCAAGAAGACACACTAGGGCTTATACCACAAATGCATAAAAATCCTGCTAGGGCTTATTTTTGGGGTAGGTCTTATTTTCGGGGAAACAGGGTAGGATTTTGGGCGCCCCCCACAGTAGGATGCCCAAGCCACCCATCTGTGTTGCAGGGAGGTGGGAAGATGGCACCTGCCCTCCTTGTTCCCTGGTAACAGGGCACAGAGGTGCCTACCCTCTTCATCCTCTGGTAGCAGGGTGAGCTGGGTGCCTGCCTTCCCCTCCCCTTGTGCCCACCTCCTCACCCCTCCCTCTACTACCACAGTCAGGTGAGGTGTGATAGAGGGAACGAGGAAGACGGCTTGTCCTGCCCTGCCCTGATGGAGGTAGGGAAGGAGAGAGCAGTGTCCCTGCCGGCCATCGAGGGAGAGCAGGGGTGCCTCCAGGGCAGACCCCGATGCCATGGCCGGGTAGCTGAATGGTTGGTGAGTTAGTGTGAGTTAGTGTGAGCTAGCTCATAGTTTTTTAGCCTCTGGCTCACACATTTTCGTCTTCGCTCAGGAGGGATGGCTCCAGAGCAAACTAATTTATACAGTAGCCAAATCACCTGCTCACAACTTTAATGCTGGTAGCTCACAAAGTAGAATTTTTGCTCACAGGACTCCACAGCTTAGAGGGAGCATTGCTTGGGCACCCCTCCACCACTCGACCTTTGGCACATCTGGCACACTAGGCATTCACCTAGTATGTAGCAGAGAAACTGTGTATATGTATGTGGGGTGTGTGCTTAACTTTCCTCCTGCCCACTGCCATACCGGCCCGTAGCCAGGATTTTGTGGCTTGTGGGGCAATTTTTTTTTCTGGTGGGGCTGAAGTTTTCAGTGCAGAAAGAAAAACCAGGATTCTGAGGATTCTACATAGGTGGTCTTAACTATTTAGCCAATAGAAAGCTGCAACCAGGATAGATCTCTAAATTGCAAGCTGTCACACCACTTTAGATGACAGTTCTCAGCTGTTGCAAGTTAATCACTTCTGCCCGCCTAAGCAACAGTTCTGATAACAAGCTGGCAGGTGGTGGTGATGACTTCGGTAGTCCAGAAAGCTAACACTTAGGCAAGAAAACTCGCTTAGAGGAGACCAGTTTCTTGACGCAGAGTTAGAAGGGATCCTAGAGGTCACCTACTCCAACCCCCTTGCTCAGTGCAGGAATTAGTCAACTACAGCACCCCATGCTGCTTAAAGGAGCGCACGCCTTTCTAAAAAAGCTTTTAAATTATTGAAAAAACATTTACAGGAGAAATACTTGTCGGGCTGTGCCTTTCAGAAAGGGGGCAAAGCTCCCCAAAAGCCGCACCGTAGCTACAGGCCTGCTGCCTTAGCACTCTAAACCGATCACCGAATAGCTTCCCTTCCTCACCACTAGAGGGAGGGGCTTTAGTGCAGTGGAAGAGCCTCTGCTTTGTAGGCTGGAGGTCCCAAGTTCAATTCCCAGCATGTCCAGTTAAACAGATCAGACAGAGGGTGACCTATACCCACAGTCCTGGAGAGCTGATCCGATTCAGTGTAAGGCAGCTTTCCATGTGTTCATGTGTGACGGACTGCTGGTGAGGTTTCACGTAGATGGCCTACCCTCTGAATTGTGCTTGGAATCCTATTGTGGGAAGCGTTTGTGGGAGAATAATTTGGGATGAAGAGGAGGTGAGCTAGAAAGGGCGACGTTGTGTCCCCGTCCCGTCCCCCGACCACTGCAGCTTTATTTCTCCAAACAATTCATGCATGTCTTATTGGTCTCCAAGGTGCTACTAGAGAACCATTTTGGTGTAGTAGTTAAGTGTGCGGACTCTAATCTGGGAGAACCAGGTTTGATTCCCCCCTCCTCCACTTGCACCTGGCTGGATGGCCTTGGGCAAGCCGTAGCTCTGATAAGAGCTGTTCTCTCGAGGGCAGTTCTCTCAGAGCTCTCTCAGCCCCACCTTCCTCACAGGGTGTCTGTTGTGGGGAGGGGAAGGGAAAGGAGTTTGTGAGCCGCTCTGAGACTCCTCTGGGTAGTGAAGGGTGGGATATAAATCCAATCTCTTCTTCTTCTACTAGAATCTAGCTCTTGCACTGCAGACCCATGTTCCCTCTAACCTGAGTTAGTGTGAGCTAGCTCACCATTTTTTAGCTTCAAGTCACAGATTTTTGTCTTAGCTCAGGAAGGATGGCTCCAGAGCAGACTAATGTACGCAGGAGCCAAATCGCCTCGCTCACAACTTTCATGCCAGTAGCTCACAAGTTAGAATTTTTGCTTACAAGACTCCACAGCTTAGAGGGAGCATTGCTGCAGGCCACCCTGGCTACCCTCCTGAAAGTTTGATCCAATCAGTAAAGACCAGTGGGCTGAATGGTGAATTTATACATGAAGAAGAAGAAGAAGATATTGGATTTATACCCCGCCCTTCACTACCCGAAGGAGTCTCAGAGCGGCTCACAAACTCCTTTCCCTTCCCCTCCCCACCACAGACATCCTGTGAGGTAAAAGAAGAAGAGATTGGATTCATACCCCGCCCTTCACTACCCAAAGGCATCTCAGAGCGGCTTGCAAACTCCTTCCCTTTCCCCTCCCCACAACAGACACCCTGTGAGCAACGCTCCCTCCAAGCTGTGGAGTCTTGTGAGCAAAAATTCTACTTTGTGAGCTACTGGCATTAAAGTGGTGAGCGAGCAGTTTGGCTACTGCATAAATTAGTTTGCTCCGGAGCCATCCTTCCTGAGCTAAGACAGAAATCTGTGAGCCAGAGGCTAAAAAGCTGTGAGCTAGCTCACACTAACTCAGCTTAGAGGGAACACTGCCTGTGAGGTAGGTGGGGCTGAGAGAGCTCTGAGAGAACTGTCCTTGAGAGAACAGCTCTGACAGAACTACGGCTTGCGCAAGGTCGTCCATCAGCTGCAAGTGGAGGAGTAGGGAATCAAACCCGGTTCTCCCGGATTAGAGTCCGCGCACTTAACCACTACACCAAACTGGCTCTCAAGAAGAAATAGATCCAACCCCTCCCCACCCCCCAGATGGACTATTCTGCAATGTCATGTGATCCAGTATCATTTTTGGCCTAGCTAACTTCTTGAAACTGTAGTGAGGATAAAGTGATATGAAGATGTGTTGTGACTTTGCCCTTCTAACAAAGCTGGAAAGTAAAGCTCACCTCGGAACAAAGGTTCTGGGCAATCAATATCTCACGAAACGAGCCCTGGGTTGGCCCTGCGTTCGATGGCAGAGTAGGTGCTTTGTGTAAATATGCTGAGTATGAGGGATTGGGTCATAGCCCTGAGCTCCTTCTCATGCAGCTTTGTTAGGCCGAAAGCCCCTCCCGTCTTCACTCCGATGAGCTCATTATCCATCCTCTCCCGGTGATCTATGGCGTTTCTGATGATATACGCAGTCTCTTGTTTGTTGAACCGCTGTGTTCCAAGGCAGCGAAATCTAAAAGCAATTATATCACTAAATCACTGGATTTTACCAGGGCATAAATATCAGCTCATGAAATTCTCTGGCATACGATCAAATAATTTGTACATTAGGGCATTACTCCCTTGGGTTTATGACAATGCAAACAGCTGCCATTTTTTAAAAGTATGAAGCGAATGGGGGGGGGGGAGCAGTTCTCCCAACAGACCTGCGAAATAAGAAAATGGCTCTTGTTGTCAGTTTACTGATGAGGAAAAATGAGACCAGCTGGCACAAAATGTGCAGGGAGACCAATCCTCTGGAAACCCATTTGTGCAGGCCACATTGAAAGTAACTGTATTAATGAGAGACCCAGAGTGGGTTACAATGTTCTGCTTTTCTCCGTTTTATCCTCACAAACAACCCTGTGGGATAAGTTAGGCTGAGAGTGTGTGACTGGCCCAAGGTCACCCAGCGAGCTTTCAAGGTGGAGTTGGGGATTCAGACCTGGATCTCCCATATCCTAATCCAGTGCTGTGTGCCGCCCCCGCGGCTCGCGGGGGGGGGGGGGGGGGGAGCACGGCCAAAGCGCGGCTTTTCTGACCCGCAGCAAAATAGACACGCAGCGGCGGGATCAGACAGATCCCCCGAGCCACCGCGCAGTTGCTCCCCGGCACGATCAGATGCTGGGGGAGAAGCCACGGGACGGAGAGTGAGGCAGCTGGCTGCGCATGTGCGCGCATGCGCAGTTTGGCCGGAAGCCTCGAACGCTGCAGAAGACAGGCACGCCGGAGATCCCACGGCCGCCCTTGCTGTGGAGCTTCAGGTAGGTACTGCTCTTTTCTAGGTTCTTTTTTGCTGCGCGTTTCCCCCCGGAAAGGACAGATTGGGGACAGGTGCGCTCCGCTTCCCAGATGTTGCGGTGTGATCGCGCCCGTTTGATGCGCCCCCGATCTGTCCCTCTTGCGGGGCAAAACCTCTCGTGTGACTGGGGCCACTACATCACACTGGTTCTCAGTGGCAGTGTCTTGAGAGTGTACCCACTGAGCTGTGGCTCAGTGGAAGAGCCTCTGTTTTGCATGCAGAAGGTCCCAGGTTCAGTCCAGCATATCTAGTTGAAAAGACCTAGTAGGAGGTGATGTGAAAGACCTCTATCTGAGACCCTGGAGAGCTATTGAGGGGGTTGTGGCTCAGTGGAAGAGCCTCTGCTTGGCATGCAGAAGGTCCCAGGTTCAGTCCAGCATATCTAGTTGAAAAGACCTAGTAGGAGGTGATGTGAAAGACCTCTATCTGAGACCCTGGAGAGCTATTGAGGGGGTTGTGGCTCAGTGGAAGAGCCTCTGCTTGGCATGCAGAAGGTCCCAAGTTCAATCCCCAGCATCTCCAGTGCAAAAGATCAGGTAGTGGGTAATAAGAAGGACCTCAGCCTGAGACCCTGGAGAGGTGCTGCCAGTCTGAGTAGACAATACTGACCTTGATGGACCGAGGGTCTGATTCGGTTGACTGATGAACCAGTAGTCTGATTCACGTTGGCACTCGTTTGCTGGAATTCAGCCGAATGGAAGCAGATTTGTTTTCATCTGTTTTAAAGATTTAAAAATATTATTATCAGCCCTGCATATGGGGAGAACGACAAATTAAAATAAATGGGCATTCCGGAGCCCATTTGCATCCCAGAGCTGGGTTTTGAGTGTAGGACTTTATTCTAATGCTGTCTGTGAGCACCGCTGAGGGTGAAATTATACGTGAAGCTGGAGAGCCATGGTTTAGGATATCCCACCTTTTAATTTTTTAAAAATAGCATCCTCACATTGCTGCTTGGAAGATCGGGGAAGCATCATTTGTAGAAGAGGTGTTTTCCTTCATACTGTCTACCAATGTCAATCACAACCCTGCACCTGAGAGCCAGTTTGGTGTAGTGGTTAAGTGCACAGACTCTAATCTGGGAGAACCGGGTTTGATTCCCCACTCCTCAACATGCAGCTGCTGGTGTGACCTTGGGTCAGTCACAAGTTCTTTCAGAGCTGTTCTCTCATGAGCAGTCCTCAAAAGAGTTCTCTCAGCCCCACCTACCTCACAGGGTGTCTGTTGTGGGGAGGAGAAGGGAAAGGAGTTTGTAAGCCACTCTGAGACTCCTTCGGGTAGTGAAGGGTGGGGTATAAATCCAATCTCTTCTTTCTCTTCTTTTCATCTCCCCTACCTCCCAAAGAAAAGTAGTTTGCAGGTGAATCTGTGTCTGGGAAATGCGATTTAAACTGGGGAAGAGGCATGGAAGAAAAGGGTTAAACATCTCTTCCAGAGAAACTCTCCCAAAGCAAACATTTTTTTTTTTTTAAACGCACCACAGGACACTCTAATCATTAAGCTCCTACATCATGTTTGATTTGACATTTAGTTGAGAAGGCTTGAGTCTTTCTGGTGGGAGCACACTGAAAAAGGAGCCCTGTGCTAAATAATGATTCAACCAAAATATCCCTGCATTGACCTTACCTACTCCACATATAACTAAGACCGGTGTTTTGGATCTAAGCCCATTAAAGCTACCTCAGTCTACTGAGGCTTAACTGGTATGTGGATCAAACCAGTTAATAATCTCCTTCCCCCCACACACACACTGAAACTCTTTGTGTTTTGATTCCTTTTAGGTCTTCCAGAGTCCATCAGCTTCCGTTTTACAGGTACATCACTTACCTGTTGTCAAAGCCATGTGGTTTTATCTTGTCCCTGCTTGCTTTCTTCTTTACTGGCTTACGGCACTTGGTGGCCCCAGGGCAGAAGTGGTATGTTCGGTGGTAGACTGGGAAACTGCAAACAGTTGCACAACTGAGATGTGGAAGGAGCAAGTGCAAGGGGAAAGTGGTGCTTAACTCTCCCTCTGTCTGCTTCTTCTCCCCATAAATCCCCTCCCTCGGCTGTGTTATGTATGTATTTATTTATTTATTAAATACCTTTAGTAGATACCTTTCTACCTAATAGGAACAAAGTGGCTTTCAGTGTAAATAGTAATTTAAAACTCTGGTAGGCAGAAGAATTAATCAGATACTGTTAGGAATAAAACTGTCTTCAGCGGCCTTGTAAAGATGAAGCGTGAGGGGACCAGGCGCACCTCCCTTGGGAGGTTGTTCTGTAACCAGTGTTATTTTTGGGCAGGAATG